AAAATATTTTTGCTTCTATTTATTACCATGATATTGGCGATGTGTTAAATGGTGCAGGATAGCATAATTATTATTCAGTTCTCACAACTTTTTGAGCAAAAAGGAAAGTTATTTTCTTGTATTGAGTGATGTTCTATTTGTTACTGCAATGGAAACTATGTACCAATTTCTGCTCTGCTCGGCTTGAATGAAAAAATCCATGAATTAATCAATCAATTCTGTGGTGGCATCAACTGCAACTTTGCTAACGTTGCTTCTCATTAATACGTTGAATTATCACACAAGGATGGGGGCAACAGATGGGGGATTCAAAATATCCCTTGGCAATTTTAAGAACAAGACTAGGCTTAATTACACTAATTCACACAATTAGCTGACTTGGCCATTCTCATACTTCACAGTCAAGACCTACAGGGAGATTTACTGAATCTAGGGCGACTACATAAAATATAATCAGTACTCACATGGGACCCTCCTATATACAGTATGTACATGAAGCTAAGGACTTTCACTCAAACATTTATTCACACCAAACATTTGAGTCAGTCACCATAGCATAAATCAAATTTACTTGATATAAATGTATCACGGTACATGAGGCCTCACTGTAGGAACATTGCAGCTCTAAATCGGCCTAATAATATACTTTTCCAGAAGTGCCGTAGCTGTCGGGCACAAACAGCCCACAGCCACAGTAAGGGGGGAACACAGTCTAAAAAAAGATCTAAAAATAGGCACAAGTGCTGTTTTAGTCTGTCTTATGCATTGGAAAAAACCCTCTCCACGTCACTGGTTTCCTTCACAGAAAATTCAGATCCTTGTGGTTTTAGCAGGACTGCAAACTCTTAAACATATGGGCTAAAAATGGGATCGATGAAGGGGGAAACAGAACTTAAGTATGTTTTAACATGGAAAACACTAGCCTGGAAAAACACAAACATAGGTCTTATAAGTTGCATTATGGGTGGTCTCTAGAGTTGATTTAAACAGCTAAATTAGAAATCTCAACCTATGTTACCGCTGGGGGCGCCCAGGCTCCTTCTAGTGTTTCACAATTTCCTCCACAATTGAATTAGTCGTTGAAGTTAGAGTAATTTGACTTCATGTTGTTGTTCTCTTTGGGTTAATGCTCATTAAAACTACAACAATTATAGATACTCAGTAACCCTCAGAAATAGGGCTGTAACTAACAATTATTATGATTAAATTATTTCCTCTATTAATCCATCAATTAGTTGTTTAGAACGCAGATATCATATTTTGTCTCAGTTTGAAACATATACAGTAAACACGCCGTGGAATCCACACATCTCAGCTATGTTTTGAGTCTACATTGCAACAGCTGCCCTGGGAGCTGTCAGAAGAGAGGCTCCCAATCTGTGCCATAGGCTACTCTCAAGAACAAGTAAAATCCTGGCGCTACATATGATTCTAGAGAATGATTTAGTCCCAATTCATTTATCAAATAGTTTTACACTAATATTCATCTTGTTTGTCTTTTTTTATAGCCCTGATCCTAGTAAGCGTCCAATATCCTGGCTTGTTTCCCTCCGTAAAAAAAACAAACAACAAACAATATTTTCAGGCTGCATAACACAGAGCTGTATAAAATCACCACCTCCTTAGATAATGAATGAAGGCAAACAGGAGATTGCGAGAGGTGGGGATGAATAATGAGTCAAAGAAAAAAGATCCCAACACCCACTCTTTCCTCTGCCCCGTTCTTCTTGTGGTGCAGAGTTATTTTTAGCACCAACGAGGAGCAACACGCTGCTGTAAAGGCAAAGATTTCAGCTTCAGCAGGGCCATTGCTCACCCAAATGTCTCACTGAAAAGGCCAAAGTGAAAGGGCCAATATAGAACAATAGCTTAATATCACTTTTATTGATTCATTTATTTTTTAAAGTTGTAAATTACACAAGTATGAAGCATTTCTTAGGGCAGCTTGAATACAGTGAAAAGTCAAGTTTACGATTGTCGCAGTTAAAATTGTGACGAAACAATAAAAAGGTTTGTGGCCTACATCACAGGTGGGCGGGGCTTAACTGGAGTAAGAAAGCATGAAGGACTTTGTGGTGATGATTTAACCATGGAAAAATGGTAAAAAAGTTTGTTGGAGGAGTGACTTGTTGGTTCTAGGGTTTTCATAAAAAAATTATATTAACCACATACTGTATTTAATAAAGAGTCCCAGGGGTCATATATCATATAGAAAACAGAACCACAGACCCCCATATTATTTTTAGTGCAATAAAATTAAGCAAAATCCGTTATAGTCCATATTTGTGAACAAATGCATTTTTACAGAAATTATCCAATATGGAAGCATCGATTAATATTTTAGTAATCAATTAATTGTTCATTACTCTATAAACAGACTTCAAAACATGTACCAACTCACACACGCACAGTATGCCTACTGTAGATCCTACACACAGAAAGGGCCTTAGTCCCCAGATGACATTTGCCCAGCCAAGATGCCGACTCTGTAAGACAGCAACAGAATCAATATTGAATCCTCTCTTAAAGGAATTATGACACATTTCATTACAAGAAGCAGAAAGCCTCATCCGCTAAAATCAATAGGAACTTGATTTTCTGTGCAGTTTATCTTCCATTCAAAGAACAGAGTAGACGTTTTATTGTTGCCGTCATTTTGACCCCGAGTTGGTGAGAGTAAATAATCTGCAAATGGCTTTGTTAAGGGTTTGTGGACATAAAATAAATATAACAATTAGGATGAAAAAGTATTTGTCATAACAGCCCAGAAATTGAGAATGACTGTAAATAAAAGTTAGCATTATGTCTTATATCATTTGACACCACGAAAAAATAACTATGTAAAAATGTCATGCAACTAGTTCCCTACAGATCCACGCTCTCAAAACCCCTAGAAGAAAATCAGCTCTCAGTAGGTAAAAGAAAAGAGGTGTTTGGAAAATTATGCTTTCTACCATGACTCCTTTCAGTTGTACGAGTAAATATTGATGTATTTCATATGAAACAATTAGGAGCTCCAGAAAATGTTATATCATACTACTATTACATAATAAATTGTTTTATATGCAGGCCTATATGTTAGCATTCTGTATTATTGAGATATTATAACCTACTATTAATATTCATGTACTAAATCCAAATCTGTTACATCAGGTTTTTATTGTAATACTAAAATAAAACAAAACATCCCTGCCATTTCCTAATTCTCAAACTATTTACTGTACGTTAGACAAAGTTAGAACATTTTATTGGCACCCTGAAGAAGGCCAAGCTAGGCTGAAACACGTTGATGCGTATTTTAATCTACAGCCATGAGAAAATAAAGGCTTTTAAAACTTTCTAAACTATTGACCACAAGTGCCTTGGATTTTTTGATTTTATACGATCTTCACCATTTGCTTTTTACCTGGAAAGTCAAAACTCCATTTTGTGTTACTAAGTTAAACCCTTCTTCTAATTGAGCACCTGGTCTTTTAAATAATGTTACACACTTGTACCATGGAGCACTCCTTACTCTTTGCTTTTTTTAGAAAAATAAGAGATTTGTTTATAAAGTGAGTAAAAGTAGGGAGTTGCTTGTGATTGACAGTGTACTACGGTCGTCTTATCGGTTTCAGGAAGACTTCAAAGACCCACTGCTACTTTACTGTGTGTTCAAAATACCTGAAACCAATTAGTCTGACAGAGCAGCAGCAAACGGCCTGTCTGTACTCCAGGTGTGGTGTTTCAAAGGTTTGTACAACTTACCCCATCAGGCAGATCATACATGGGCTAAAAATAGATCATCGGAAGCACTTTAGCAATGAAAACCTCAATTAAAGTAAAATGATGACAAAGGGCCTTGTAATAATAATGTGAATTTGCTTTACACACTACACAGCAAGTTCATTCAATTGGAGAATTAGACAATGTATACATACTGTATTGTGTAATTGGAGAGAGCTGTTCCGTTAATGACTAAATATAGAATGTAATTTATGGAAAAGGTTAAACACTAAGCTCTTTTATAGACAATGTGGATTACCATATTTGCCTGTTATGATAACCCAATAGGAGTGTAAAAATGTGGGTGTAACAATGTAATACAATCTACATCTTTTTTTCTTTTCTTTTCAATGCTTTCCAGATTTTGCAGGCTCTGAAAGATACCCAGCCCAAGTATAAAGGGTATAAAATAGCTGATATAGTGTAATGAGGTGTTATAGTGTAATTTATCAATCAACTTGTATTCATAGAGCACTTTACACACACAAATAGGGGCATAAGCTATTTTAGGGAGAATGTGGATTACCAAATGTGTCTATTACTGCCACCTTAAAGAAGAGTTGCAGCAGTGGAACAACATTGAACATTCAACAAGTCAACGTTGATTCACTTGCGTTTTGAACTGCAAATTTAACGCCTTCGCTGTTCTCCATTTGATCTACTGAAGTTTCAGATTGTTAGAAAGCAAGATAAGTTAATTAACGTTTACATTGCTCCTTACTAAAATACATCCAGAACTCCGCCGCCCGCCTTCTCACCCACACCCGCTCCAGAGATCACCCCTGTCCTCAAACAAATCCACTGGCTCCCTGTTCCAGACCGCATCCAATACAAGGTCCTCCTCCTCAGCTACAAGTCCCTCCATAAGCTGTCCCCCTCTTCCCTCACTGACCCCCTCCATCATCACTGTCCCTCCCGCCGCCTCAGATCCACTGACTCCAACCTCCTCACCCCCCTCAGGACTAAACACCGAACCTTGGGGGATCGAGCCTTCGCTGCAGCTGCCCCCACTCTCTGGAACTCACTCCCTCAACCAATTAGAAACTCAGACTCACTACAGAACTTTAAATCTCTTCTAAAAACCCACCTGTTCAAAAATGCCTTTCCTTAATTTTGTTTTTCAATGTTTATTTCTATGTGTTTTGTAAAGCGTCTTTGAGTGTCCAAAAAAGCGCTATATAAGTTTGATGCATTATTATTATTATTATTCATGCAAAGTAATAAAATATTCTTACCGGTGATGAGCTCTCTGACCTCCATGTCGTTGGTCTTCCTCAGCAGTCGGACGAGAGCCGGGATCCCGTCACAGTTTTTGATGGCCACCTTGTTGTCATTGTCCTTCCCGTAGGAGATATTTCGCAGTGCCCCGCAGGCCTTACGATGCACCTCTGATTTGGGGTGGTCCAGGAGCCCCACCAGCACCGGTATTCCCTTCAACTGACGCACATCTTTCTTAATTTTGTCGTTTTCGTAGCACAGATGCTGCAAGTAAGCGGCCGCGTTGGACTTCACCGGATCGATTGGGTGTCCGAGCATGGCGATGACTTCGGGTAGGTCGGGGTCCCTCCAGCGTGGGTCTTTGCGTATGCTGTCGATGGAGGGGGAGCGGCGGCCCACCATGCGGTCCAGGCTGGCCATGCTTCCCCTCTCGGGTTGGGCCAGCGGAGCGGAGTACATGCCGTGGATGTATGGGTGGTGGCGGTCGTCAATCAACTCAACTGCGTCGACCGCCTCGTCTGGGTAACCCCTGGGAAGGAAGAAAGTGAGGTTGAAGTGATACATGTAGAACAAAAGATACTTATATGGTAGAGCAAAATATAAAGATTTTGAACAGTGAAACAATTATAACGAGGCTTGCATGTTTATAATATGCCTCTGACACCATTTTCAATTCTTACTATTAACTTGCAGTATTGATTATACAAGGTTAATATGTCCGTCGTAGCATGTTGTACAGCACTATTCTCAAGAAAAATAAATTCTCTTCTCAGCATTGAACTCAAATAACATATTTGACCTATCAGTGTGCAATACCATGCCTTCTTTACCTTAGATCCAGTTTTAGTTCAGTCCGAGCATAAATAAAAAAATCTATCATAAAATACTACAATATAATTATAATATAATTTGACAAAAATACCTCAATAAGTCTTCACCTATAAAAAATGAAAAATAAGCACAGACACAAAAGATTAGCTTCACAAAGGAAGAAGTGTGGCCCCGACTAACCCTGCTCTATCGAAAGACAAGTGGCTGTGAGCTGTCAAAAAGCCAAATCCAATTTGGAACGCAAATGGGGTCCCTGTTTGAGATACTGTAAATCATTGCAAACATTGCCTGTGGATTGACCCCCCCCCCCCTCCTATTTTTATTTATTTATATATTTTAATTTATTTTTTATTTTATTTGATTTTATTTATATAGATTTTTTTATTTATGTATTTGCTTCATTTTTATTCTTATTTATTTACTTTGTATAGGATCCATGACTGTTTAGACTGTATTAGTTAGTGTATACAACATCCATGTTTCAATGTGTGACTGTAATGTAAAAAATAAATAAAAAAATGTTACAAGAACTTTGTAGTTTCTCTAAGTGTCCATTATTGTTTAAAAAAAAAAAAAAAACAAATCCAAGAAATTCTTTGTGTCTCTCTTAACTCTGTGGGCGCCAAATAACATATTTATCTAAAGAATCTATAAAGCAACCTGGCTTCATACATTATTCTTCCACCAGTAAAATCAATAACAGTCAAACAAAACATGAAATTTTTTCTCTCCAATTGATGTTGCAGCATTCAACTTAGAAATGACTTTACATTTGCACTAGCCCTCAGCCTCGATGGTAACACAGAGAGATCATCGTGTTCAGAGAGCAGCCAAGAGAGGTGAGCAAAGTGGCTAACAAGAAGGTGTATGTGGCGGATTCCTAAGCACAAGCAAAAGAAAAGGCAACGATCACCGGCTTGGGGCTAAAGATAAAATTGCAATTCAAAGTTAACATGTTGCCTTTCCCCTGCCTTAAAACCAGCATTAAGAGCAATTTTGAGTGATTAATCATTCTTTGGACTTAGAAAACGTACTGTAAATCCATATTGAAAGTCAGAGCAGAAGGCTAGTTCAAACAGCTACACAGACAAAGGGATTGAGCTTTGAAACTTGCTCCAGTGAAGTTTTGTTTCTTCTTTGTTTTGAAGCCAATACTTTGAGGGGAGAGAGAGGATTTGATGTCTGTTCCTCTCATAGAACAAAAAGTAACTTGGCTGTGGCCCTCGAATAGCTCGCAGTCTGATGCCCTCAAGGTTTTTGACACTGGGTTCAACAGTATAAACATGGTCATTGTTGGTCATTGCTGATCATCTAAACATTTCACAATATTAAGTTAATCAAAAGATCTGTGAAGAGAAAAGTGTCCCAAACTGTGGTTCCCTGCATACACATGAATAATAAATAAATCAGGAGCAAATCCAGCTTTATCAGCGCTGTACCAATGTTGTTGCATGTTATGTTGTGAGTATATGTCTATAAGACCCATTAGTGAGTCCATAGACATTTTTCCCACCTCAGATCACAGTCGACTTATTCCACAACAAAACCGATAAGATAAATAGATGTATTTTGTTGGCCAGTAGAAAGGACTTTAACAACTATGGATAATTTATTTAATTTCCACAATTATCAAATAATGATTGTGGAAATCATTTGGACATTCTTTTTTCATTATTTCCTTAAAAAATAACTTATTTCTCATACAGTTGTAATGTATTAGCACCTGCCCTGCAATTGAAATTGAACTGTGCAGGAAGAACTCAATCTATTTAGAACAGAAACTCTTAGGGGGGGCAAGATCTTCACATTAACAAAATACTACAGCACAGAGCAGTGTAGCTTCTAAACATACAGTAGTTGGGAAAGTTATGGCAGGGGGAGAGGAATTTAATTAGGGTTGTGTACTTATGCACAGCCTTTATCTGCTCCCCACGCACGCTCCCCTCAGCTTGAGACTTGTTTATCCGAGTTACATAATCCAGCTGGTCTCCTCTCTCGATCTTTGATGTATGGCGGTTGGTGGTACAACAAAATGGTGGCTTTCGCTTGTGGTTGCAGGAAGTTCCATACGAGTTAGAATTTTAATTAGTTTTATGTTAATTATGTGTTTTTTACAGTTAGGGAGGATCAGGGAGTTCTCTGTGGGGATTCCTGTCTCATCTCTAACATATTGGTTTTGCTTAGCGTAACGTTATGTAACTTAATAAACAAAAACAGATCTAATACTACTAATGTCTACTCTTCAAACTGACTATGCCCCATTTCTAATGAAAGAATTAACTTAAAATTAGGGCTATTATTGACAGAAGAAAATCTTGAACTAAAGACATGGCCTGTTGATCAATAGTCGACTAAAAAAGGGCCAATGACAAAAGCTCTCAAAACTATTACTATAAAGTGGGTGTCTAACTCAGACTGACCATACACAAACAATGTAGCTTTTAATATGATAGCTATATCTGCCTTAAAAGGTGATATTGTGGAAGTTTACAATGAGAAAGGACATGAGATTTTAACCAAACAAACCTCTTTCCGTCGAAACATTCTTGTCTAAAAACCTGGAACACTACGACAAATCCTTACTCTATTTCATCATCATCAGAGCTGTCATCAGATATGTTATGATTTTCTCTGTTGAAAAAATACTTTGAATTTACAAAAAAAACAACCAATTCGACACTGCCTCTTGTGGCAGAAGTGGGTATTACACGCCGGGAGCTTGTTTTATCCTTAATGTTATTTGATCTAATATGTTCTACATAAAGAATTGATTTCAGATTCTAAAATATGCAATGTCAAAGTAAAAAATCTCATTATCATGTTTATGAAGCACAAATAATGCAAAATGTGTCTTTGCTCTTTACTCCATACCAATCCAGTTTACACATCGTAAAACTTGTTATTTTGTTTAAATGATGGTGATGTTACACCATCATTTAAACAAAATAACAAGTTTTACGATAGGATGCCAACGACCGACTGAAGGACATCAAACCGAGTGCCCGAATTAAACCAGGACTTTGTCTAAAATAGAACAAAAGCCAGTCCAAACCAAAACAACTTTTTACGTTTATAGCTCATCTTTATGCAGTTCAGTGTCAGTAGCATCGATTTGAAACAAAGTGAGAGGGAAAACTCTGAGTCGATCGCTGTAACGAGACACTAAACCCCCCGTTCAGATGGTTGGAAAGAGGATTAATGAGAGGACGCAGGAAACTCCATCACAGTTCCACTTTCACAAAAGCTGTTAGCGGAGCATCGCAAAAATTAGCTGAATGGACAAACCTTCAGGGAGCGATTTAGTTTTGTATCCACAAACAATGGAGAGCTGAGACTTAGAAGGGAATCTGGCATAACAAAACATTCGGGTAACAAAAGAACATGCAATGAATATTGTGGAGAAAAGTGTACGGAAAGCACCCAAATAGGACAACAACAAAAAAGATTTATGGATTAACGTAAACGTGATACATAGATTGCTATTAGAACAATATATAATCTTCCCAGACTGTAGAATAATTAGACCATATTTTTTTGATAAATTGAGAAATACTCCACAGGTCAGAGGACACAATACATATTTTAAATATATAATATTGAATGATATCATATTTATGATTTATCAAAATGATAAAAAAAATAGTTTTTTTATATAGAAGGAATAATGGGAAAACTGTGCCTCATTAGTTTAGCATTCATTGAATATTGCTGCTCAACAATTCAACCATTTTCTTTTCAGCCAATCAACCAGTTTATTTCTGTAAGAAGGCAATGACTAAAAGTCTTGTTGCATGAAATTAATACTGAAATAAATTTTTACTAAACTTTAACTTACCGCAAACCCAAATGGAAGTAAAATCCATTAAAGTAGTCGCTCACATTCAAAACAATTTAGTTCTATCACTAATTGGAGTATACAAGTCTTATGACCATCCTCAGCTCCCAGCTCAAAGAGTGTGACACACAGGGTTTCCAATTATTATGGAGGAAAACATGATTCGGTCTGATTGGGACAAACAACAAAAGTTAGATACACCAGCTTTAAAAGCAAAACGTTAAATGGAGGAAACAATACACGGTAATACGAGATAATAATACAAGTTGATACAAGTTATACATTGTATGCTGTAAGAAAAACATGACAGTTGTGTTCTATTCACCCCAACTCCTATTTGCGTCTGCATCTCCACAAACTCCCACACTGAAAGACCATCTGCTGGTTACACCGATGTGAGATATTGGACATGACAACCCAATGAAAGTGGGAAAAAAATCAAAAAGCTCCATCGACATAATCCTAACATCATCATGGTCGCATAGGCCCGCATGCGTAACCACATAACAATTGTCGCTTTGACTGTCTTCCTCATTATCTGCCAGGCTGGCTTTGTGCACACTTTGCTGAATCCTGCCTCAGATGTATACGATGTTACACTTGTGCCATCATGCTTAATTTAGCTCTGTGACGGGCCAGTGTTTGGACGGAGTGTGTGAGGGAGATGGGAATGTCAGGATTTGCATTTAAATTGGCGCCATTGTGAGTGCGGGGCGGGCATACAGAGGGGTGTGTGAATGAGTTTTTTTATGCGGCCAGACGCAATGCCCCCGGACTGATCGCAGCAGATCACAGAGCTTGTGTTAATGTGATGCTAAATGTTCAGGCTATATTTGTGACTGTGCTTATCTCCGTCGCCATAG